ACAACTACTTTTATTCTGTTAGTATTATATTAGTATTGGAGTTATGCTTGAGAAAGTAGATTCAAACGACCATCACCTTCCATTACCGCATTCTCCACAACAGTGCATCCAATTCCCAGGATAACACATTATATATATATATATATATATATATATATATATATATATATATATATTCACACAGGATAAATGACAGAACAGGAGGGAAGATAATGGAACACTTCACTTGAAGATGCATACTGAGCAACAATTCCTTGGGGACTGGTCTATAGAAAAGAACATTCACGCGATTTTCAACCAGTTACAAAGACCACCATCGATTGAAATATAATCATAACTAGGCTCTCTAACCTATATAAATCCCAGATTTTTGAATACACGAATTCGGCCTGTCAACGCTACCATGACAATTAGCTTCGCCACCATCTTCTTCTTGTTAACTACTTATATCTCACACAACACACGGTCAATAAACTCAAAATAAGACACAAAATATTTTACTGATTGTTATTATCATACGCCTAATAAATATATCATACGTAAGTCAAATTGGAAACAACTGGTTTAACTATTTTTAGCAGTACAAACTATGCTGTATTTACTTATACTACCATAAATAGTGAACACTTCTGATTACTTCACAGTATCAGCATATAAAGACGAATTCAGTTTAGCTTAGTGGTACAAATTGACATAAGGCAATAGAGCAAAACTAAACAATGTGGACTGGAAATGTGTTGTTCATGACCGTGAAGAAATGCCTCTTCACCACATAATACTTTCCCATGGTGTGCAATAGTAATGACAGTGATGATAAGGAGAAAAGTGAGTTGAGTGCAACTCAACAATTAATGCCAATTAGCTTAGTTTATTTAATATAACACCAAGTGATACAATATTATTTACTAGAGGATGTTTACAGCACAAATATTTTCCAATAATCATATAAAAAGTGACTTCAACAACCATTACCTAGTCAACTACATTTCTTCACATAATCAAAGAGTATGATATTAATCTTGTTGCTAGAAGGCAGGTACATCCAGATGACGAGTCCCAAACAGCACGAAACGAGTGTCCCGGATTCCACTGCGAGCCACTACCAATCATCAACATATAAGAGAGTTGGGTAGTTAGCAGGTCGGTATGGCATTTATCAAATTCAGTCTCGAGGATTGTCCACACTCAAATATCATACACTCACAGGATTGCCAACCTCAGTACGATAAATTCAAAATTCTCTGCATCAGTAATATTTCACTTTGCATACAAAGTGCTTCAATGGTAACATGCGATACGTATAGCGGATATAAGCTAAGCAAACTTCAGAGGTTTACTGTATACATATACAGTTGATATCAGTCAAACTGCCTGTACACCGAATAAGATCATACGAAGAATCAGTAGAGGAGAGGTAAAATTTTGTTACAACTGTAAAATATACCGACTTATCTCCACATTATCTGTACGCGTCCCAACTTATATGTCTATCCTGGATTAACTGTTCGCATTCGAATAAACCTCGGCCTTTATATTGAACTGTATACACAGATAGGCTGACAAATCAGCGTGCAACTTCGCAGAGATATTCATCACTTTAGGTAACTAAACTTCACAGCAGCACACAAACAACAAGTAGATAGAAAATGAATAACATTTAAAACTTGAAAGAAGTATGTGATAGGGTAGAGGACAAATTGATGAAGGTTACAGAACACACTGAAAACGTCAAACATGGTATCTGCTGCACTATGATCAATTCTGAGCCCTATCTTTAACAGTTTCCAACCATTCATTCCTATCATCTCCATAACCATAGCCATACAGTCTGTATTTGCCTACACGGATCAGTCAGAGTCTCGGCTGCTTAACAAACCAGTGCCATGTCTTCGTCCCGTCAGATTGTGTTGTGCTCAACTAAAGACAAATTATGTAGTATGTGTAACAGTGGATCACCTACCTCCACAAAAGTCACATCAAAAATAACAAGGTAGAATTCAGGAATGTTGAAAAGTAGCACACTGTCTAACACTTATGACTGCGCGCATACACAATCAGGTTATTAACAATACTATTTTCAGCTTCAATCAACATCTGGTGCCGAGGATACTGAATCGACAGGCACTCATTCAATAAAACAAGTCATGATTTTATTCACCTTTCACAATAGTCACTCATGAGTAGACAGTTACTGACTGACTAACCTGAAACTTTCAGTTTCAAGTAGTTCGTAAAATATGATGTGACGGATTCACAATTTGATGATATTACGTGGAAAAATGACTTCGGAAACTTACCATCATTGGATCTAAGCCTTCAAGTGTTGGGGTAAGGTTTTTATCCCAACCGATTGCTACATAATTTACCTGAAGAAGAAATGTAGAAAATTATTTTAGTAGTTCACTCGCATTGCATTAGTGTTGAAAATCCGGATCGTGTTCACGCCTCATGCTGAGTGCACCAGATCTGCACACTACTTTCAGGTCAATGAACACCTGGCTTACTGTCTTTCCCATTCGGGCTTCCACGTTCTCATATGTACCTATGCCGCCGCCTGCAGTCGAAACGATGCTGCCCAGCTAGGTAGCTGAAACAGACAACTCCCTTTAGATTCCTCTCGTTGATGGTGATTGCTGCTTGCTCTTGTTGTTCCTTGCTTGTGTATCTTCATCACCTCTGTCTTCTCTACGTTCACTTGAAGTCCCGTCTTCGCTACCCTGCCTCTTCTGCCAACTTGTTGATTTTTGTCTGTAGATCTTTGAGCTTGTGCGACACTAGACATAAATCATCATCGTTGGTGAAATTCAAATCTTCTAGGAACTTTTCACCAATCAAACAGCGTATGCCCCACTTCTCGATCCTCACAGTTTCTTGCATGATGCAGTCGACCACAATCAGGAAGATCAACGGTGAGATACTTCTTTTTAATTAACTTTTCACTATCATTTCAATTTATAAAATGATGCTTATGATTTACATATTGAGGAAATGATTAATTTTACAACATTAAGAGGCGGATCATGGAAATCGTGATAGCGATTAAGACAACAGAAAATTGTACATCATAAAATTGTGAAAGTTCCAGCAGGTTGTTACTGAATTGCTAACTTGTATAATAATGAATAAGAAGGATGAAAAAATCATCTCAGGTGATCACTTGTTACGCAAGAATAATAAAAGATGAATGTAGGATAAACACAGGGAAAGACCGTTCTTACATATTTGAAGAACATAAAACTATGTGGTTGGCCACCGTAAAGATAAAGACTATAAAAGTTTCTTATGAATACATGAGTTTGCCTTGCCTTGTTCAAATGACACTCAATATCTTCCGCCATTTGTATAAAATGCTTACTTACCATATAGGCAAAATAGGAAGCAGTGTGGTGAATAACTTTAAAAGACCCACACACATCGATTCAATGTCCAATAACTTCTTACTGGTCTTGTCTTCCCTTTGCTCAACCATAATGAATAGTGCTCAGAAACACAAAGATGTACTTGCCTAATCTAACGACAGATGTAACTACCCTCATAGGAGCAATTCAACTACTAAATGTACACAGAAGAGATGAATTCAGGCAGTTCAACTTTATTTCGCGAAATGAATATATCAGTCTAGTGAAGAGACAGTATAACTTTGTTGTATTGAATTTACTTTTAAAAGCGGTTCTAAGACGTTGTATTCAATCTCACCAATGATATCATCATAAAACTATAGTTTTAAGAACAATGACCTTTTAGAAGCTATCAGTAAACTTTCTTTTTTATTGCTTAATGCGATATATCCTTTTATATGAGATGAACTGGATATCCGTTTCCTCTTCATCCTCCTCCTCCTCCTCCTCCTCCTCCGTGAACGTGTCATCATGTGGACAGATAACTTTAGTTCAATGCAGTAGATCAAACATTCCATTCAATTCTATTCACACTGCAAAACGAACAATTCTTGGAAAGTGTACACACTGAATGATTGATATAAGTTTTCGGTACACATTCCTTTTTATTGGCTTATCTGATTTTCTCATCACCCAGACATTTCATTGACACAATACTACTCTCGTATTTTTGTTGATAGTGACGATAATTATTGTTAGTGCTATTAAATTTGCCCATTTATGCTCATCATATTATTCTCATTATTAAACAATGAGGAATATATCATCCATATCACACCAACAGAATTCTAATCTCCAAATTACATCTTTCAAATGGACATTCTCTAGGGGAAAATCAACTAGGATTGGTCAAAATAGTGATAGTAACATCATCTAGAAAGTACTTCTTTCATGGAGGATATAAGCAATTCCAATTTCTAAGCTCTCACTGATTAGGCCACTATATATTTAATTATTTGTCCCTTGGGTTTCCAGTGGAACATACGGCTTCATTAGCACGCCTCCATTGCACTCTCTTCTCTGCAAACTTTTGAACCTCGCTACACAACTGCCCATAAGCTCTCATTTCTTCCTCACTAAATCTCCTCCATGTCACTCTCACCTCGAACGCCCAACTCGCCGTTTCCCCTTCGGGTTCCACTCGATATCCTGGCCTGGCGAGTCATGTTCCCAATCGATCTTCCCACTCCATCCACAATCTAATCCATCTCCAATTTCTGCTTCTGCATATTTCTTGAGTGATAGCTTCTTGGTTGGTTCGTTGCCAGACTGAGTTCCTTGTTGCTTATTCTTATTATTCTAGCCATCTGAGTTTCAGCAGCGAGTCAGCGTACGCAGTTGTTGATGAATATCTGTAGTTTATTGGAAATGCTTTTCGTGACGCCCCAAGTCTCTCAACCATATAGAAGCACTGACTTGACATTAGTGTTGAAAATCCAGATCTTGTTCTTTATGCTGAATGCAGAGGATTTCCACACTGATTTCTGGTTAATGAATGCCTGACTTGCTTTGACGTCTTCGTCTGTCCCACGTGTAGTTCAAATGAGGTCACTATAGACGTATATATTTTTTTCTTACCAATTCGATAATGAAAAGCCAACTCACTTATGGTGATAATATATTTGTTTATCATTATTATTCAGAACCAACAGAATTCTCAGTATTATAAAGAATCTCTCTTTAAGAAGTAACACAAATTGCATGGGAAGTTTTAGAAAAGTTGGATGAATGAATAACAAACACTTCAATATAGAAATAAAACTATCAATAATGATAATAACATGGACGATAATAGATTAAACTGGAAATTATCAGTTCAACAGTTTAGAATTAGTTGAAAGTATATTGGCCAATTGAAGTTCTTTATTCACTTTTTTCTTATTTCGTTCTTCATAAAGCAACCTGAATATATCAGTTCGTATATATATCCACGCGTGTACATATTCGTGTCAAAAAAAACAAAACAAACAAAAAACAGAAAACACTTCAATGTTCAATTAATCCACGAACTATAAAGTTATCACTCATAGAAATTCTTCATAGCATAATTTCTGGCAACGATACAATACAGTATGAAATGAATACTATCAACGCTTTAATGATAATAACATATTGTAATGTATTTTTGAGATGAATGGGGATTTTTAATTTACAAGTAGTATTCATCATGGACTGACATCAGTTGGAGAACCATTGAAAATCTGGGAGCACTGGACAGCTGTCTCGTCCAACTAGTATGGACTCCTCAGCAGTACGCACCCACGACCCCACTGTGCAGGGACCGAACTCAGGACCTTCGGTTTCACGGTGAACGCGTTAACCATTCAGCCACTGGGTCGGTTTCCAGTGGTTCACAACTTCCAACTTCTGTCAACTCATGACATAGCGCGACTGTCACCCAAGGTCTTCAGTTACCATCCACTTCACTTCCGACTGCTTGACTTCACAGGTCACGGCTTCTCATTGGAAATTCCTAACATACTGCTGAGGGGTCCTATACTAGGACGAAAAAGCTGTCCAGTGCTCCCACATTTTCAATGGTTCCCCCAACTTATGCCAGTCCATGATGAATACTACTTCTAAATAACATGTTGAATAAAAAGACAATTCGATGAGAAAAGTTAATATTAATCAAGTAGAACTACTCATAACTGATCTGTATTCATGAGTATAAAGATATTAAGTAAAAAATAGCATCAACGTAGGCATCAGTGTTTATCTCACTAAATACTTAACTGTCTCTTTAACCTCTACCCATCTATACATGCAGTTTATTTCACACACACACACACACACACACACACATACACACATGTATATATATGTATGTTCAAAGGCAGCTTAATTTCAACTCGGTCTGCTCAGTTCTATGCCGTAAATACCACAACTACTTACATGAATAAATTATATAAGATGTGCGTCAAAGAAGATAAAGTTTATTGGTGGTCAGGTCACAAGATTGTGATCTACATCACTGGAATATTATCATCATTTTTCATAGTGACGATTAGTAGTTGCAGCACTGATGTACGCTTCGTTTCACTTAAGAATCATTAGATAGCTTTAGTGTTATTGCTTGTATTATACAGTTGTTGATTGGACCGAATCGATCGGTTTCTATTGGCATATGGACTCCTGCGAGGATGCCTAGATATTACCTGTGCTTCTAATTACATAGTAATGATGGTTAGGGGTTAGCAGTGGAATCCAGGATATGCATCTCATCCTACTTGGAACTCGTCAGCTGGATGTATCTGCCTCAAAGTGAGTGATGTTGTTTCCACCGGGATCGAAACTCGGGACCGATAGTATCAAACGCAAAGGCGTTTTCCACTACACCACAGAGTCAAATGTCTTCGTTCACTTGGGTTCTTTGACTTTATGTTATTATCCATGAATCTGAGTGGAAAACCGTTTTTCGCCAGAGTTTCTTGAAGATTTTGCAGTTCTCCGTTAACAGTGTCCTCACCACATGTTTTCCTGATCCTCGAGGAAAGTGAATGGATAAGATTTCTCTTCCTACATAGAGGGACTGAACTTTGCAAATTATTAAACTGTCCGTTACACGTAGGCTTTCTGCAGATCGATACACGACACGAAGGCAATTATCGTCTTTTCTTCGAAGTTGAACATCAAGGAAATGGAAGGTTGAGTTTGGTGAAAATTTGAATCTTGCAAACTAGCTCCATATCTTCAAAAAGATTCTTTGGTTGAATTTTGAATTCAAAATGATATTGCTGCAGACATCCTCAAGAAATGACTTCAAAATCCTTAAACAGAATATACTTCGCGCCAACCTTCGAATTATCTTCTCCTGTGAGAAACGTTTTGGTCAATGTGCGACAGACAAGCCGACACATTAGGCCACACAAATGTGTGTGTGCTAGTTTACTTGCTCTTATGGAGCTGAGTACATCAGCCGTACCATGCGTCCACCTGTAAAATGTGCCGGGAAACACTACCCAGACTGGCTGGCAAGCTGGCTGGCTGGCTGGCTGGCTAGCTGGCAATGGGAGGACGGAAATCTATTTTCACTTCAATAACAGAACACCTCGTCAACTCAGGCCACTCAGCTCCTTTTCAGATCTCATCCAAAATTCTTTACGGGGTTCGATCAAACCTCTCTAAGGGAGTAAGATCAAGGCATTTGTCTACAGCTGAAGCACTAACGATCCGGAAGTTCAAACCAGCGTTATACATCCAAAAAGGGTATGTCCAACCTCCATCTTTGTCATGGCCATCATAAAGCCTTGACTGTCATCCTGTATTAGGTAACTATACATGTATTTTCTCCATCCCTTGTTTATTTTACTACTCTGTCATAGATTTAACCCACATTACGTAATCGCAATCTTACTTTCATAACCCTACGTTCATTTCCCTACTTCGTCATACATTCATTCATCCTGTATTGTATAATTACATTTAATTTCATAATCCCTTGTCCAGTTTCCCACTCTAAACCCAAATGCGTATTAAATAACTTCCCTTTAGTTATTCAATATATTTTGCCCCCTAATTGCAAATAATCCTGAGCTGTTCTGCCGACTGTAACATATATCCACGAATGTACAGCTCAGTAAATGACTTCATCGAGAAGAAAACAAAATTTTCTTCCCTCCAACCACATCTCATCTTAATATGGTTGAAGATAACAATAAGAAACTTCATGGAATGATGCAGCAAATATAAATCATGTAACCCTCTTCCACTTCGATTATATAAAATAACCAAAAAAGGTGGCTGATAAGTACGATATGAAGGTGACGCGTTTAACCACCTTATTGAATGCAGATTAGACACATCTAGCATAAATGGCTTTTTATTCACCAGTCGACTACAAGAAATAAAATCTAGTGGATCCTATTCCGTTCTTTATCAAAAGTTATTTTCAGACACCTCAATCTAAGTGAATCAACAAAGAATACACCAATATTCTCAAAGTAGGCTAGATACAACCATATCCAGGTATAGGCATCAGGTGTTGGACTATACACTCTATTATATGTGAGAGCCAACAATATCACCTAGTGAAACACGATTCGAACCGGTTACCTAATTTACTTAACGACTAATTGTCTAGAGCAATTGGCAACAGCTCAAATGATAACCATTTGAGTTGGTTGAAAAATTAAAGTCAATAGTATCACTTGCCTATTTTTCATAATACGAGATATAACCATTGACGTGGTCACATTGCATCCACTGTCTATCCTACGAAGAATACCACGTTCTTTGCAAATCTTAAAAAGTGAGAAACAACAGCATTAAGTATATATGCATAGAAAAGATGATAAGATTGCAAAATTTCTCTGTGTAGATGCAGCAGATCAGTTAAATGACTTTTCTTAGCATTGGAAAACACTTAAAAAAGGCGCAACAAAATGTTAGTCTAGACACACACACACACACACACACATTCATTATAAAGGAGAGTAATGCTCAACTAATTAATTGTATTCACCAATCCCTCCCAAATTTTAGTCATTAAAAAGATCTACTGCTACTACTACTACTACTACTACTACTACTACTACTACTGCATATTCCAATATCAAAATCAAAATAAATCGAAGGTAATCGGTAGAAAACCCTTGATGTATGTCTCACAATTGCTTGGACTTATGAACAAAGTTCATTGAAAATCTCCAGGGGAACCAGATCACCTCGGAAATTCAAATCCTATAAACAATTACTAGACAGTAAATTGTCGGGCATGATTGTACAAGATTGTGTCAGTAAATTCACGTCGGTAGTAGAGAAGAAAAATGCTGAATATCACCACTCCGAATAAATTTCATCTAGAAGCAGTGACACATAAACGCTGTTCAAATGAAACACGATGAAACCTGAACAAATCAACTTTTCAAAGGTGATTGTGACGGACAAAATCATATAGAACCTTGAAGGGAGGTGCATGGTATGACGTTGCCACACTTCCCAGTAATATACAAAGAAAAAGGTGGACAGAAAAAGAGTTCTACCAACGAAGGTTAAGTACTGTGAGAAAATTAACAATATGAAGATAATAAAGGTAAGCGCAAATATTCAGGCTTTAGAAGATGTCAAGGAGTGAACACATTTGTGCCAGTGTGACGGATTTTCGGTCATGTCGCGAAGTATCCTCAACCACTGATTCCTTTCGTCTTCGAGGCAACATGACTCAGACCAACAGTCAGGTACTTCATCGAATGGCGCCAGATCTTCGTTTGGCTAATATCAACCTTCTTTCAAACTAATCCAACTCCTCCTCAAGGTCATGGAGAATGAAGATAACTAATGCATAGAAAATCAAGAAGGAGGCATCCGTTCATCTTCTATTCATATTAAATGAACTAGAGGGAAACATATGAACGTCGAACAAATATGAATAAACATGAAAAAGTAGGGTAGAGAACAAGACACAGAATGAGAACATCCGCTCCAACATCCATTTAATACTCTAACTATTAATCATTAGCATGACATAGATCGTAGTCAACAAGGTCGTAGTTCATCGCATGGCTCAGTATAACACAACAGATATCCTTTCACCACACATCATGTAACAACTCAACTGGTCACAATCAACACGCAAACGACAATTAACTTCCTCCTACTAAACAGTTATTCAATACGCATTCAATGTACAGTATAGAATGAAAATAACAATACAGGTAATAGATATATTGTAAACATTGTGAATATCACCTTAAGGTGTATCGAAGAATCAGTATTTTGTTTCAAGTCAACGAATTCCTAAATTTGCTACACAATAATTAGGAGATTTTTAAGAGATATGAATGTACTTTGAATGTGGAAACCTGAAGAAAATTTTCGCATCGTGATGCGAGCGTGAAGGCAGTGAGTACTTTCCAGTTGCTCATACAATAGAAGTTGTTTACTCCATATGCCTGAAAGACAAACTCGATCCACTTTCAAGTGAATATTCAAGTCAAATCTCAATGTTTATCAATTTATATCACAGTTAACTTAATCTTAGAATCTCATCAGCCTAAATGATCATTCATCTGGTCAATGAAGTGAATAAGTAGGTTAGGTGACAAGTAAGTCATATACATGGAATTTTAAAACTTGTTGAGATTACCATTTTGTAACTGTGCTAGCCTTGTAAAACTGCTCTCATTTCATGTGTTACAGTATATTCATTCTCTCTGAACACACACAAATATCCCCATCTCTACAGCTCATTTCTCATATCAGTGAAATGCTGCAGTTGAACAAAGACACTGATTCAAGTGTTCCTTACTTTCTACTCTTAGCCAACTGTAAGTCATTCTGCAAGATTATTTCATCGTACTAGTCAGTGCCTACCAGCCAGATAAAGTGAAATTAGGCTCGACTAGCTTGATAAACTTGTTATACAACTACTTTTATTCTCTTAGTATTATATTAGTATTGGAGTTATGCTTGAGAAAGTAGATTCAAACGACCATCACCTTCCATTACCGCATTCTCTACAACAGTGCATCCAATTCCCAGGATAACACATTATATATATATATATATATATATATATATATATATATATATATTCACACAGGATAAATGACAGAACAGGAGGGAAGATAATGGAACACTTCACTTGAAGATGCATACTGAGCAACAATTCCTTGGGGACTGGTCTATAGAAAAGAACATTCACGCGATTTTCAACCAGTTACAAAGACCACCATCGATTGAAATATAATCATAACTAGGCTCTCTAACCTATATAAATCCCAGATTTTTGAATACACGAATTCGGCCTGTCAACGCTACCATGACAATTAGCTTCGCCACCATCTTCTTCTTGTTAACTACTTATATCTCACACAACACACGGTCAATAAACTCAAAATAAGACACAAAATATTTTACTGATTGTTATTATCATACGCCTAATAAATATATCATACGTAAGTCAAATTGGAAACAACTGGTTTAACTATTTTTAGCAGTACAAACTATGCTGTATTTACTTATACTACCATAAATAGTGAACACTTCTGATTACTTCACAGTATCAGCATATAAAGACGAATTCAGTTTAGCTTAGTGGTACAAATTGACATAAGGCAATAGAGCAAAACTAAACAATGTGGACTGGAAATGTGTTGTTCATGACCGTGAAGAAATGCCTCTTCACCACATAATACTTTCCCATGGTGTGCAATAGTAATGACAGTGATGATAAGGAGAAAAGTGAGTTGAGTGCAACTCAACAATTAATGCCAATTAGCTTAGTTTATTTAATATAACACCAAGTGATACAATATTATTTACTAGAGGATGTTTACAGCACAAATATTTTCCAATAATCATATAAAAAGTGACTTCAACAACCATTACCTAGTCAACTACATTTCTTCACATAATCAAAGAGTATGATATTAATCTTGTTGCTAGAAGGCAGGTACATCCAGATGACGAGTCCCAAACAGCACGAAACGAGTGTCCCGGATTCCACTGCGAGCCACTACCAATCATCAACATATAAGAGAGTTGGGTAGTTAGCAGGTCGGTATGGCATTTATCAAATTCAGTCTCGAGGATTGTCCACACTCAAATATCATACACTCACAGGATTGCCAACCTCAGTACGATAAATTCAAAATTCTCTGCATCAGTAATATTTCACTTTGCATACAAAGTGCTTCAATGGTAACATGCGATACGTATAGCGGATATAAGCTAAGCAAACTTCAGAGGTTTACTGTATACATATACAGTTGATATCAGTCAAACTGCCTGTACACCGAATAAGATCATACGAAGAATCAGTAGAGGAGAGGTAAAATTTTGTTACAACTGTAAAATATACCGACTTATCTCCACATTATCTGTACGCGTCCCAACTTATATGTCTATCCTGGATTAACTGTTCGCATTCGAATAAACCTCGGCCTTTATATTGAACTGTATACACAGATAGGCTGACAAATCAGCGTGCAACTTCGCAGAGATATTCATCACTTTAGCTAACTAAACTTCACAGCAGCACACAAACAACAAGTAGATAGAAAATGAATAACATTTAAAACTTGAAAGAAGTATGTGATAGGGTAGAGGACAAATTGATGAAGGTTACAGAACACACTGAAAACGTCAAACATGGTATCTGCTGCACTATGATCAATTCTGAGCCCTATCTTTAACAGTTTCCAACCATTCATTCCTATCATCTCCATAACCATAGCCATACAGTCTGTATTTGCCTACACGGATCAGTCAGAGTCTCGGCTGCTTAACAAACCAGTGCCATGTCTTCGTCCCGTCAGATTGTGTTGTGCTCAACTAAAGACAAATTATGTAGTATGTGTAACAGTGGATCACCTACCTCCACAAAAGTCACATCAAAAATAACAAGGTAGAATTCAGGAATGTTGAAAAGTAGCACACTGTCTAACACTTATGACTGCGCGCATACACAATCAGGTTATTAACAATACTATTTTCAGCTTCAATCAACATCTGGTGCCGAGGATACTGAATCGACAGGCACTCATTCAATAAAACAAGTCATGATTTTATTCACCTTTCACAATAGTCACTCATGAGTAGACAGTTACTGACTGACTAACCTGAAACTTTCAGTTTCAAGTAGTTCGTAAAATATGATGTGACGGATTCACAATTTGATGATATTACGTGGAAAAATGACTTCGGAAACTTACCATCATTGGATCTAAGCCTTCAAGTGTTGGGGTAAGGTTTTTATCCCAACCGATTGCTACATAATTTACCTGAAGAAGAAATGTAGAAAATTATTTTAGTAGTTCACTCGCATTGCATTAGTGTTGAAAATCCGGATCGTGTTCACGCCTCATGCTGAGTGCACCAGATCTCCACACTACTTTCAGGTCAATGAACACCTGGCTTACTGTCTTTCCCATTCGGGCTTCCACGTTCTCATATGTACCTATGCCGCCGCCTGCAGTCGAAACGATGCTGCCCAGCTAGGTAGCTGAAACAGACAACTCCCTTTAGATTCCTCTCGTTGATGGTGATTGCTGCTTGCTCTTGTTGTTCCTTGCTTGTGTATCTTCATCACCTCTGTCTTCTCTACGTTCACTTGAAGTCCCGTCTTCGCTACCCTGCCTCTTCTGCCAACTTGTTGATTTTTGTCTGTAGATCTTTGAGCTTGTGCGACACTAGACATAAATCATCATCGTTGGTGAAATTCAAATCTTGTAGGCTCTTTTCATCGGTCCAGCGTATGACATATATATATATATATATATATATATATATATATATATATATATGATTTTAGAGGTGTTACACTTTTGAAAATTTGGCAAAACAACAGATAATCTGCAAACCCCTGAATATTAGCCAATGAAAACGAGTGAATATTGAGAATCTGTTGAAGAGTTTTTGCGAAAATTGTCAGACTTCGAATATTATTTTGTAACGCATAATTGTAATTCAACAAGATTATAACAAAACTCTTCAGATGCCGTTAAAGATGAATCTTGTTTATTTTCTCCTGAGCTTTGGTAGGGTCTCATGGACAAGTTATCGTTACATTCAAAGGTTAAATGAGTGTTAAAGTGACAATTAACTTTTTGTCACTTATATCAACAACAAAAACCTCCAAGATCCGTGTAGGCATTGTTCACACAATCATGTTAGGCTTAAACTTATGTGACTTCTTAATGAATTCAGTGCTTAGATAGTCACTATCCTCTGTCTCGTTACACCCATAATCAAATACAAATGTTCGGAAAGCATAGCATAAGTATAATTTGTTGATTTAGATGCTAGTATTTCAAGTACATTCTATGCTTTCCAATTCTATCAAAAACACTAAAACTTTAGCAGTAAGTATGACCAGCCCTAACACAATAAGCGCCACTTATTGCCTAGTACACAAGACTATACGCATGACTGCTGAGTTGTAATCCAAGTTCTTTCTAATTTTCCTTGTATAAAAGTATGTAAATGTTCACATTCTATGTAGTATCCCCTGAATACCAAGACGTTAGTATAATGCTTTTCACTTCACTTACCTGGGAAGTAGGATCAACCCTGATGGCTCAGTGGCCGGTGAAATCTCTGCACAGATACAAAAGGCTCGATTGGCTTTCGCCAACTTACGCTATCTCTCCTGCCACCACGATATCTAACTGTACATTAAGAGTTGAGTGTACTGCACAGCAGTCCCCTCTATTCTGCTATATAGCTGTGAAACACGGCCATCAAAAGTGGAAGACATGAGACGGCTTCAAGTGTTTCATTACCGTTGCCTTCGTAGTATAGGCCGTATTCCGTGGTGTCACCACACCACGTGAGTAACGCAGAAGTCGGGCGTAGGGTTTTAGGGAGAAGAGGTAAGTCAGTTGATGCGGTTGTCAACCTTCATCGACTGAGATGGTTGGAACATGTACTATATATGCTTAGTCGCCGTCTGCCTTGTCACACAATGTTCGCCGAAGTAGGTCCAAGCTGGGAAAAGGCCCGAGGCGGCCAGACTAAAACATGGTATCAATTTATGAAGTCATTGACGACTGTTGTTTGGCTTAGAAACGAAGTCAGTGGAGCAGATGCATACACATATTATCCTCATCTTAACGATGCTACACCGAATCTCATCATCTTTTCATTTTTCCCTTTTCTCTTTTAGTACTTAATATTTCATTTGACTGGATTTTCTTTTCTTCATCTTCTACTTGACTGCCTTTCTACTTGATGTACTGATATGAGCTATGGTAACTCGGATCATTACGCAGTAATGCCTGGTCCTATATTGATTTGGATAGATGATGATGATGGATGTAACTTCATGAAAAGCAATATATACAACTCACAAATATGAAATTTTAGTAAACACTGTTCAGATCTGTTACAATGAGAATAGTTCACTTAACAGCTATGCATACAGAATTAATTACTTAGAAGTTAAATATATCTCATATATTTACACATATATGCACATTATTTAGATGAGTTGTGGTTTATTGGTCTAGACGTTCAACTTTCAACCAATAAATCAATCTGTTCAAATCCCACTATACATATCACTACTATTTGAATAACCAACCCGAATAAAAATAGATACATCCCATCGTTTGGTGAATAGACCCAACTTTGCAATATATTTTTCTTATGTATAGTAATGACTAACAGTGGCTAGCAGTGGAATCCAGGATGCGCATTTCGGCCTATTTGGGACTCGTCAGCTGGATGTACCTGCCTCCCTGTAAGTGATGTTGTTCCCACCGGGACTCGAGAGCGGTCGCTTCTAACGCCAGCGCGTTATCCACTACACCATCGAGCCACGATAGCCACTTCTTGTGAGACGGGTATAGTTTTAGTGTTATTGCTTGTATTACACCGTCGTTGATTCGACCGAATTGATCAGCCTCTGTTGCGATGCATACTATACATAGTTAAAAGACAGACAACATCGAGGCATCCACATAGGAGCCCATATGCCAACAGAGGCTGATCAATTCAGTCGAATCAACGACGGTGTAATACAAGCAATAACACTAAAATATTTTTCTTAGTTGATCTGATTTAGATTAGTGTATTTATCAGTAGTAAATCTTCATAGACGATATCATGACAAGACCGTAAAATAGTGTTGAAAAGAATACACTTCAGTAACTGCATCCAGATTTGAGTATGGTATAGAAATCGGTTTTCCAGTCTCCACCTGGAGAGAAGTACTTGTGAGATGTACGATGAATGATTATTTCCTTTTCAATGATGATCTCTACAAGCAGTATCATAGTGTGGTTACGGAGTCAACCCTTGACACACTCTTAGCAGATTTTTTCTTGGTAAAATTAGAGAATGGTCCACGGAAAGAAACTACTAGCCAGTAGGAATTATATTGTCGTTACATGAATGATAAGCTTAATCTTTCTCCAAAAAGATATTAGTAGAATCTTGTTCTCATCCGGCAACCAAATTCACAGTAGAAGAGAGGCGAAATGAAAGTAACCCACTCCTTAATGTTCTGTTTGTAAGAAGGTTAGATGGAACATTGAAACGAAGTGTATATAGAAAGCCAACATCGACAGCTTCATGCACGCACTTCCTTAGTGCCGTACTCCTCAAATACAAAAAGAACCTAGTGAGATGTCTAGCATACTGTGCCACAGCTATTTTCTCTGATGATGCTATAAAGAAAGAGTCCGCCATTATCCATGAGCTTCTTAGTAGGAATGGCCATCCACAAAAGTTTGTGACTTAGCATATGAGTATTACGCAGGCCTCGACAAGAATTCTAAGAGTTCATAAAAAGCAAATCTTCTTGAAGCAGGAATTCAACATTGCCAGTGAGGTCATCACACAATACATAAAAAAGCACTGCAAAAAGCATTCGCAGCCCCTAAATTATATCCCATCTTCTACAACAGCGCCATCCTAAGTGCAAGAAATAAAGACAGACTGTCTGATTCTGCAAGTAGCTCCTTTGCAGAGGGTTATATTGGATGAACAATGTGGTAGGTCGATTGTGGAATTTCTCAGCATCTCCCATTACAGCTGAATAAGGGATAGATTAGAACAATAAAGAGCCCTATAGTTTCACACTTAGTCGACACTAGACATCAAGTGGATACTAGAAAAGCTTTCAAAATTATTCATCACATACCAATTAATTTGCCACATAGACTAAATATTCGTTTACTTCACATAACAGATGAGATTACAATCCACCTTTGCAAACCTAACCTTTGTATTCAAAAGAAGTTTGTTCAACCACTTTCATTACCGTGATCATCAACATCATGTAACTTCTAGTATTACTTTGTACACCTCTTCCCTTCTTCTTCGACCAATATTCATTTGCTTTCTAATTCTTACGTAATTATCTACTAATAACTGAAAACTCGTCAAAAAGCACTCCACTTACTCTACCAGTCACTATGCAACTAACTTAAGAATAACCCGCTTCAAATAACCCAATTTTAATTACTCTATTGATTATTTACATTTTTATTTCTAAAACTTATCATCGTCATGACTTACTTAAAATCTATGATTATTGTTCATCAACTCCCTCCACCAGTTGATTGGCATTTTGTAAACCTATATATTAGTTTGGAGCCCAAGACAAAGACCTAATTGAAAAGGAATATATGTCTTCGCTCAATTAGTCTTTTCTCTAAATGTCTAAGTGAGAATTTTCAATGTACAGAAAGCTAAGTGCCTACATCAATGATAAGCTGCATTTCTGTTACTATCATCGGTTAGATGGAAGAGATAACATGGACAATAAAAGTGAAACATACATGTATACATAAAAACTATGTGCAATCAATCAACAGTTTATTGTTTACAGAATAGGTAAGCGAATAATTCAAAGGAAAACCTACTCTGAAATGATCCAAAAGGGTTGCAGGAATAACATACGGTGCATCAATAATCACATTACTTACGTACTATAAACATGAAAGTAAAGTAAAAACAAACGAAAGAATAATATAAGTGTATATACACTGATTGAAAAAGTATCTTAAAACTACCTCGAATACGTGAATGAAATTGGAGTAAAAATTTTGACATTTAAATATCAACTGCTGATTAGATTCAGTATAACTTGACAAAGTAGTATCTGATATTCTCTTGAAGATGTTCAGAAATGATTAATAAGGATATTTTGTTTTAAAAAAAATTGTATAATAACTGGCGCTTATTAAATTGTTAGTATCTATCTACATTGAGAAAGCTCAGTTTCGAATACAGGACTGAAGTAGAATCGGTGAAAGAAGGCGATAGAAACAACTTACTGATATGTATAAACATGAATGAACATGACACTCGATTGCTTCAAATCATTACATACTGAATTCTATATATGAGATGATGTTTAGTTACCTGACGTAGTGGTTAAATTCTACAAACCGATCAAAATGATTATGCTCCAAGTAGATGCTAAACCATAAGCTACCTGAATGTTTATTTTAATTCTTGCTTCATCTAATATCATATAGTAAAGTATATGAAAAACGATTTTATCAACATGAATCAAAATCTATAAAAATTTGTGCTCAAATTAAGTTTAACAATTGTACAATGTGAAAAGTATAATTAATTATTAAGATGATCATTGACTTATATACATTTGTCAATATGATCTATAATGGTCTTCAGTTTGTTATTATCTTGAAAAGCCGTGTAATGCTCACTCAAAGCTTAAAAGATGTGAACAATGTAAAACTCTTAAAATGGATCATTAAGAAGAATACTTGTGATAGTGTTGTGTTATTTGAGCTATCCTGTCAGTACAAGCTACTAAACAGATTGAGAAGAAAAACTTTATAGTTAACTATTTTCTGAAGTTTGTGCTGACGAAGTTGTCTAGAATGATAAAGAAAGCTTCAGAGGACATAAAACAATTAAAATCATTCTCCTCAGCTATAAATATTCTCCACTATCTGAAGGAGAATGTAAATTAGCTGGTGAGATTTCATTTTTGTCAATTTCAGTTTATACACTAATACAGAAGGACGGTGAAGATGAGGCTATCAAAGAGAAATACATGTAATCAAAACAGATACAAGTATAGTGCCTACTAGATGGTTAAAAGTTTTCTTCCCAACTATACGTAAAACATAAGGCACAGGAACAATGCAGTGTATTCAGTATCATCAGAGAACCAAGCTGAATACAAAAAATGCTTCTTAATTTATCGCATACTCCGGAAATATTTCACAGCAGAACTGTTCCAGCAACATTTAGATAAGCTATACCCAATTATCCCTGGCCTGATTGATATTATTTATTTATTTGTTGCTTGGGTTCCCAGCGGAACACAGAGATTCAGTAGCACGCCTCCATTGCACACTGTTTACTCAGCGGTCCTTTGAAACTCGCTCCACGACTGCCCACAAGCTTTCGTTTCTACCTCACATGATTTCCTCCATGTCACTCTCACCTCGGACTCCCAACTAGTTGTTTCTCCTTCGGATTCCAATAGACGGCCCCGCCTGGCGCGCAGGGTCCCCAATCGGTCTTCTCAGTGCATCCCCAATCTAATCCATTTCCATATCCTTCTGCATACTTGTTGAGTAATAGGTTGTTGGTTGGTTCGTTGCCAGACTGAGTTCCTTGTTGCTTATTCTGATTATTCTGGCCTTCTGAGCTTCAGTAACGAGCCAGCGTAGGCAGTTATTGATGAATGTCTGTAGTTTGTTGGAAGTGCCTTTCGTAACGCGCCAAGTCTCTGAGCCATATACAAGCACTGACTTGACTGACCTAGTGTTGAAAATCCGGATGTTGTTCACGCTTTGTGCTGAGTGCACAAGATCTCCACACTGCTTTCAGGTTAATGCAGCAAGGCCTGTCTTGCTATCTTTCCGGTCGTGGCTGCCTTTGACGTCCTCGTCTATGCCTCCGTCTGTAGTTGAAACGGTGCTGCCCAGATAGGTGAAAGAGGCTACTTCCTTCAAGTTTCTCCCAATCATGGTGGTTGCTGTTGGTTGTTATTGTTGTTGTTGGTTGGTTGGGTATCTTCATCACCTCCGTCCTCTCTACGTTCACTTGAAGTCCCGTCTTCGCCACCCTGCCTCTTGTGTCTACCTGTTAGTTTTTGCCTGTAGATCTGAGAGTTTGTGCCACAAGACATTAGACACAAGTCATCGGTGGGGAAATCCAAATCTTCTAGGTTCTTTTCATCAGTCCAGTCAGCGTATCGCCATCTTCTCGCTCCTCACTGTTTGCTGCATGATCCAGTCCAGTCCAGTCCAGTCCAGTCCAGTCCAGTCCAGTCCAGTCCAGTCCAGTCCAGTCGACCACAATCAGGAAGATCATGGGTGATAGTAGACGGCAGTCTTGTCTTACTCCTGTCTTCACTTCGAAGGCATCACTGAGCCTTCCATTGTGTATAACTAAGCATGTGGGGTCTTCATATAGTTGTTGAATGAGGTTGATGAGGGTTTGTGACACTGAAAGCGTAGTGTTGAAGCAGCTGCCTGCCAAATCACTTGTCGGTCGACGCTGTCAAAGTCCTTTTCAAAGTCGATGAAGTTGAGGTAGACTTGAGTTGAGTTGAGTTGAGTTGACTGCCATTCTATACTCTGTTGTATGATGGTGCGTAGCGTCGTGTTGTAATTTGATCCGCACATGGTTTGTACTTCCCGAATCCAACCAGACTGTTCCGGTCGTAGTTTTGAATCCAGAGTATCCCTTAGCCTCTGCAGAATGATGCGGCATAAAACTTTGCTTGGTGTGGACAGGAGCATGAATCCGCGCCTGTCCTTGCAAACGCTTCGGTCACCCTTCTTTGGGAGTTTGACAGGATATCCCTTCTTCCAATCCCCAGGTACCTTCCCTTCCTTCCAGGCATCCTTCAAAACTTCAAATCTGCTGTAGGGCCAAAGTAACTGTAGTCAGATGGTTTGCTCAACTCCTTGATAATGTTATGGAGTAACATCATCTGACACCTAAGCTGTTGTTCAATGATAGCTTTCTTACTTAAACAGATATAAGGCCTCAATACAAAAATATCACTGAGGTAAATAAAACCTTCGATCCAGGATGACTCAGATATCTGCATGGTGAATCATGCATTTACCCTTTTCATATACATCCGGTTTATAGTATCACTGTTAAGTATATAGTCTAAAAATGAACCCGTTCCCTTTCCGCTCAGTCTGAGGTAAGTGGAAACATCACACTGCACCTCCAGAAATAAACAAAAAACAAGAAACCTGAAAAACTCTCCAGTCCGTTTCCTCGATGAGTGGATCTCAACCCCAAATTAACGTTACAATATCAACTACTTTCAATACCATTTACGTGTAAAACTTCTGTACAGTGATGGAAAGTAACTCCATATAATTTGACTGATCATAAACTAACATAGTTTTATTTCCCTAAAACGTTTCAACTACCAATTATTGCTAGTAATCATGTCAATGAAATCACACCACTTTCAACAACCGATCTTTATAATCTTGTCACCTCATCTTATTTGTTGTTATTTGTATACGTGTTGCATCATTCCTACTACATATGTTGGATGTTGATTCGATAAAAAAAAGACTCAGTAAACAATCTCTCTCTCCACCCAATTATATTTGACTCAGGTATAGTGCCTATTGTATGCAGTTGTGTGTTGATGCATGCATTGCAATGGCCGAGTTCTCTTCTACATTATTCAGCTTATTCGGATGTGTCATTCTATATTTGGCTAAATTCTCATGTTCACTTAATCTAACTGACCCCGACCATCTTGTTTGACCCATGCATTTGACCTCGCAGTCATCACATGGAGCTTGATAGATTAGATTATTTTGATTAATTGCCTCTATCTGATCGTTAAGCCAACCGACAAAACTTATCTCTGGGTGACTTTGTAAGTTGAAATGTCACCCAAATTCCAGCCTTGTTGAACAACTACGTAAAGTTTCTGATGTCGCTTACTTGAGAGGGTAAAACAATGGAGGCCTTGAACACATTTCCAATAGTGTTATCATCACTACTCGTACTTCTATTACTCTTATTATTTCCTTTCTAATATCTTCGTAAGAATTTCTTAATCAACAGTAGACGATAACTACCAACGCTTCTATTATGTGACTCAATTCCTTCTCTCAATTCTTCCAGTGACTAGTGAGTTTTCCAATTCTACCATTTACAAATCTCACCCAACCTGCCTTAACTGACATTGCATGAGATGACCTCAAGTCTCGATACCCGTTAAAGTGTGTCGGCTTCCTGAAAATGGTAGTATCCAAACCACCGTCTGACCTCCCTTCTACTCTGCAATCCAACATAGGTAATTCTCCTTCCGCCTCTTTTTTTCTGCCTTGTAAGCGAATTGGATTACGTCTACTACTGAGTTTATATGCATGAAGAAATTGTCGATATCTTCCGATTTCAACACAGTAAATGTATCATCCACATATCACCACCGTATCTCAAGTGCATAATTAAACCTTTGTAAAGTCATGTGTTTCCAACTATGCATAAATATATCTACTACGACTGGGGATATTGGTGATTCTATTGCTACTCCTTCTGTTTGTCCATATATTTTGTACTTAGATTTGAAGACGAAATAATAAGAGTTATACAAGTATGAATAGTGATGATTACACTATTGGGAAGGAGTTCGAGGCCTCCATTGTTTTACCCTCTCAAGGAAGCGACATCAGAAACTTTACGTAGTTGTTCAACAAGGCTGCAATTTGGGTGACATTTCAACTTACAAACTCACCCAGAGATAAGTTTTGTCGGTTGGCTTAACGATCAGATAGAGGCAATTAATCAAAATAATCTAATCTACCAAGCCTCATGTGATGACTGCGGGGTCAAATGCATGGGTCAAACAAGATGGTCGGGGTCAGTTAGATTAAGTGAACATGAGAATTTAGCCAAATATAGAATGACACATCCGAATAAGTTGAATAATGTAGAAGAGAACTCGGCCATTGCA